CTGGCTTGCATCCCAGCATACCAGTTTCTTTTAGCAAATCCAAAACATACTTACGTTGTGACAAGAAAATACCTTTCAAAGATCGAGCAACTTCAACTCCAAGAAAATATTTCAAATCCCCCAGATTCTTCATTTCAAACTCAGCCGCAAGATTCTTCTGTAATCTTGAAATCTCATCACAATCATCTCCAGTAATAATCATGTCATCTACATAGATGATTAAGGCTGTCACTTTTTTCTGTCTCCGTTTAACGAACAATGTATGATCAGAATGACTCTGATAATACCCAATCTTTTTCATAACTTGAGTAAACCTATCAAACCATGCACGAGGCGATTGCTTCAGCCCATAAAGAGACTTACGCAACCGGCATACTTCGGTACTTCTACCAACACTGTACCCAGGAGGAAAATCCATATATACTTCTTCCTCCAAGTTCCCATGAAGAAAAGCGTTTTTCACATCAAACTGTTTTAATGGCCAATCCATATTAGCAGCTAAAGATATCAGAACACGTACCGTATTCATCTTGGCAACCGGAGAAAACGTCTCTTGATAATCTACACCATATGTTTGGGTGTATCTTTTAGCTACCAACCTTGCTTTGTACCTGTCTATTGATCCATCGGCTTTGTATTTGACGGTAAACACCCACCGGCATCCAACTGTTTTTTTTCCCTCCGGCAAGGATGTCACCTCCCAGGTATTATTCTTCTGTAACACCAACATTTCTTCATCCATTGCGTTTGCCCACTTTGGATCCTTTAAAGCCTCATCCACACGAGTTGGTACTCGAATAGCCTCCATATTGTCTATCAAGGTCTTACGCTCTGGTGCAAGACTGTTGCATGAGACATAGTTGGCTATCGGATACTTTACTTTGCCTTCCGGAGAAAACCTGTCAGGTGGCACACCCCGATTTTGTCTCGGTGGCAACTTATATGTATTTACATCAGTACTTGCATTAGTTACATAATCATCCACAATACTTACCTCAGGTTTATTCAGAGAAGAATCATTGGGCATCATCGTGGAGCTAGAGAGAGAGGGGGTTACACAAGTAGGCTCGACAATGAACTGTCCTGACTGCAGGTCACTCTCGGCATCATATGTTTCTGACTGCATGCTGCTCTCGGCAGCAACTTCTGACTCATGCCGTGGCATGTTTGGTATTTCAGCAGCAGGCACGGCATCAGCATGCACGGCCGCAGCATCAACCACAGTATTTTCTCCCAAGTCCAACCATTCCAGATCACCACTAGAGCTCTCCCCCTGGTGATCTGAAGATGAAGATACGGGGGCATAAAAAAACTCCGATTCAGAAAAGGTCACATCCATAGTAACATACATATGCCGAGTCTCAGGGTGATAACATTTATATCTTTTTTGGTGAGATGAGAAACCAACAAACACACATCGAAGGGCACACGGATCCAACTTAGTGCGATGAATTTTCGGAATATGCACATAAGCCACACAACCAAATACCCGAGGCTTGAGAGTATGAGTAGACATCACCTGAACATGTTGAGTGAGGACTTGAAGAGGAGTTCGAAAGTCAATCACCCGAGAGGGCATACGATTAATCACGTAAACAGCATAAGTAACTGCTTCAGGCCAAAAAATCTTAGGAATAGATGCGCCCAGAAGTAGAGCACGTGCCGTTTCTAAGATATGGCAATTTTTCCGTTCAGCCACTCCATTTTGCTGTGGAGTATAGGGACAGGTTGTTTCATGGAGAATGCCTTGATCACAAAGAAACTCCGGCAACTCACAATTAAGATACTCACCACCATTATCAGAACGAAGAACTTTAATTACAGATAAGTATTGTGTCCGAATCATTTGAGAAAAGGTTCGGAATACCATACCAACATCGCTCTTATTTTTCACCACATATAACCACGTCATACGAGTGCAATCATCAACAAACGTAACAAACCACTTAATCCCAGAAGAAGTAACAACATGAGATGGTCCCCAAACATCAGAGTGCACAAGTTCAAACGGTAAAGCTCTTTTATTCATACTAGGAGGAAACGAAGCTTGATGGCTTTTAGCAAGAATACATACTTCACAATGTAAGTCTGATTCATTTATTCCACTAAATAGACTAGGTAACATATGCCGTAAATACCCAAAAGATGCATGTCCTAACCGACGATGCAACAACCACACTTCTTGTAAATTACTAGACCGGGACGCTCGAACCGCATTAGCTCTGCCAGAAACGACGTCGTCCACATAGTACAACCCCTCTCTCTCAGTGCCACGCCCAATTATCTCCTTGGTCTGAATATCCTGAAGGAGACAAAATGATGGATACATTAGAACAACACAATCTAATTGTTTAGTAACCTGTGGTATGGATAACAGATGATGGGATAAAGAAGGAACAAGCGAGCAATGATGTAGGGGAAGTGTAGGGGTAAGATGCACAGTGCCGGCACCACACACGGGTGCCAAAGTACCATTGGCAGTTGATATATTTTTCCTGTGAGATGTGGTCATGTATTGAAACATATTTTTATCATATGTCATATGATCTGTTGCCCCAGAGTCCAGAATCCAACATGTATGGTGCTGATTTTCGGAGGCTAAGAGAACACGTCCCACGGTACCTGTGTCAGAAGACAAGTCACCCCGAGTACCAAGCAACAAATTATGACTGGAGTTACTAGAACTAGGCACGACTTCCTGGACTGTGGGTGTAGCCGCAGCAAGGGAGGCACGGCCTCCACTGGATCCAGCTGCTCCACGCTCCTTGGCACGCAATTTTTTCTTTAACTCTGGAAACCAATCAGGCACCCCATGCTTAGTAAAGCATGTATCCTCAGTATGACAGGTTTGTCCACAAAAAGTACACTTCAAATCATCTTTATTTTCTCGGTTGAAAGGTCGAGAATTTAAAGATTGATTAGAAAAATTACTAGCACGATGAGTACCAGCTGGCCGAGAGATTATTGCCATGGACGACAATCCTCCTTGATTGTTACTCCCACCCATCATGGTAGCATGTCGTTGAGCTTCACGTCGAACAACAGAAAACAGCTCCTCAACAGAAGGTAAGGGCTGAGTACGTAAAATATCACTACGTACTTTATCAAACACATCATCCAAACCCGCCAAAAAAGCATACACACGATCAACCTGAATTTCTTCTCGAAGTGTCTTGAAATCCACAGCACATACCATCTTGATTGGTCTCCGTTGATCTAACTTTTGCCAGATGGACATGAGATCAACATAATACACACCAACCGACCGACCCTCTTGACGGAGTCTGAACGATTTAACCTTCAATTCATAAATCTGAGAAATATCTGAACCATCATAATAAGTTCGAGCCACCTCTTCCCAAACTTCTTTAGCAGTACGTAGGTGAATAAAAAATCCCATGATAGAAGGTTCCATGGAATTGATCAACCACCCTTTTACTATTGCATTCCTTGTCTCCCACGCCTCATACTCAGCATTAGCCTCAGCAGGCTCCTTGGTATTCCCAGTCACAAAACCCTTCGTACCGCGTCCAGCGATGTGCATCTCCAAAACCTTGGACCAAAGATGATAATTCGATCCATTTAATTTCACGGTATTTGGTACAGCAGATGCATCACTCTGAATAACGACAGGATTCACTACTTGATTATTGGTTGAATTACTGCCCTCTAACTTCAACACACCACTGCCTCCTGAGTCCATTAATAAAATTTTACGGCTTCTTGCAATCTGTACAGAAGCAGTACAAACCGATAACAACTCTGATTCGAGAACACACCACCAATACCGTAGTAGCCCCAAGTCTTTCTAAGGTAACAGACAAGCAGTAGACAAGTACACACTGCACGTCAATACACGGTACAATTGCAGAAAAAAAACACAGCAATCCTCACGGCAGCAGCAATGTATTGCGCTGCACAGCAATATACAGCAGCAGACTGCACTGCATAGCAATATACAGCAGCAGACTGCACACACAGCAATACCACACCCACACGGCAACAATACACAGCACTGCACATCAATACATAGCAGCAGACTGCACACACGGCAGTACCACACCCACACGGCAACACTGTTTTCGGCAGAAGATTTGCAGAAATAAGGTCAACCAAGCACAGCGGAAAAGAAAACTAGGGTTTTAGGGTTTTGGCTCTTGATAACAAATAGAACTTTTACGGGAATTAAATCTTCTATTACTTGTTTAGAAATATATACATGTGCTATCATAGTTTTACAAGGAAACAAAAAACATATACACAAACCTACTTAATAAAGGACTCCTATTATTAACATTCCTTATTTTTCCTAATATTGACTCACGCTAACACAAACAATTAAGTAGTCAGAGATTCAAATTGATGAAATCAATCGAAGAATTTTGAAATTGTATGTGTGAGAAAGATGTATAAGGACTCTGGGGACGAGGTGGAGGAAATCAGCGGTGAAAAGATGGAGGAGGAAGACAATCGAACGAGGCGTTTCTAAATGTCTTGGACGGTGGCGAGAGAGCTCGAAGTTGAAGTTTTGGCTTTCTTGCTTTCTGCCATATTTTCGCGCGCAGTGTTTGAGTTTAAAGCATGTCGAACACATGAATGTTTGGCCCGCTTTTCAGTTTAATATAACGTGATTTGGCGTTCACAAATCAAAATGGGTTAACTAGAATTTGTAATAGTTGCTCATTTTTTGTAAGGAGGAATCCATATTGCTTGTACAAACATTATAATCAGACCCGTTAAGTTGCACTCATGTTTACGTTTTAGGAAGGTGGAATTCACGTTCTTCGTAGAAACGTCATAATTAGTATTTGCACTAATCTTCACTTTTTTTGTAAAAAGATATTCTACATTCCTCGTATAAACGTGATAATCAGCATCGTTCATTCGTTTCATCATCGTCTAAAGCCAGTAAAATGTATCATTAAGAAAAATAATTTACAATACTTGTGATAATGGTCAGCTTTGACATTTACAAGAAAATACCGTTCTTGTTTTTTGGCCTGATACAACAAAAATAATAGGCTTACAGCTTACAAGGTGCCCATTATGTAGAAAGGGATGATGGGGTCTAACTTACAAAAAATTCTGATGAAGGGTAACAAGCTTTGACATTTACAACAAAAATACTAATGTGCAGTTTGATCACCATCGATTTTCTGACTATGTATGTATCCATGACAAGTGAGAAGCTTGTTCGTAGACGAAATTTGATACAAGAGATTCTTGGGATCGGAGAATCGAACTCGAGACCTTGCGGAATAAATTTGTTTCCATTTAAGGAGAGAAAATTAAGATCTTATATCTTCACCAGCACATAACCAATTAAGTAGGGCCTCCAAAAATATTGTTCTGCATCTTTCGCGGCAACCCGAAATTTTGGTATGCTCTGATTTCGCCTTCCAGAGTGGCTGTCACAATTACCAAACCCCAAGCTGTTGCTTGTGTTGTTTGGCTAGCATGGTTGTTGCCTATATTGTCGAGCCATGACCAAGAGGAAGACCAAGATGATGTGGAGGCACTACCAGCAGACATAGAACTTGAATCACCATACCTAATAGAGGAAGGGTCTGAATTAAACGACTCTCCAATCCCGGATTCTGTTCGAGAGATTTGAGCAGGATCTTGATCTTCCGGCGCAGGACTTGAAGGTGTTTGATCTGATGCATCTCCCTTATTGGTTGTGGTGTTGTTGTCTTTATTGTTTTTCTTCGGAAGAGGCGGTAGCATTCTCTTGCTTACACCTGCATCTTCTTGAGTAGGGGATGCATTGCCGGATTGCGGCTGTTGCGTTGAGCGTTTTGAGTTTCTCTTGGAATGCTGCACGGGGACAGGTGGAGGGTCGCCCCTTATGGTGCCTGGCCATGGTATTGCTGCTGAAACATCTTTGCACTGAAAATGCTCGTGGGAATTGGTACTGATGATGCTCTTTTTACCTGTGGCTGAGATTCGGGGTTCTTCGCGCTTCCAAACATATACATGGGAGTCTTCACTAGCACATACAACATATTTTCCGTTTGGAGTGAATGAAGCTGCAATTTGACTGCTTGTATTTCGGAAACCTGTAAATTACATCTTGGGTATTATTTATTAAGTAGAGAATTGTAAAGAGGAAGTGAAAGGCTCTGAGCATTGGATGAGCTCTGCATACCTCTAAACTTATGAGTCACGTTTGTGCCATCCAAAATTCGAATCCGGGAATCAGCAGAGGTAACAAGCATTTCAGATGGATTCATCGGCGAAAACTGTTTCCAATGAAAATAATAACAGAGGAGGTAAAAAACACTTCAGATGGTTTTACGGGCTCAAAACTGTTCGATTAGAGAAAGAAGTATAGTTGCATTACCTGCAAACCTGTAATCTTTTTGGCTTGATTCTTCTTCTTGTTCTGAATATCAATATGACTATGCTGACTTAATTTACAATCTGAATTATGAAACAACATGAGGTTTATCAATTATTATTGACTGTCTTAATTCACATTTACGGAAGAAAAAAAAAAGAAAAAAAGAAAAAAAGAAGTAGAAAGAGCAACTTGTACCTTCTGCACTATACATATGACAGTTTCCTTTGTGCGAACCAATGAGACAAGCCTATAGGGATGACATCAATTTGAAGAAAGATTAATACAAATCATGATAAAATTTTCTAAGTTGATTCAAATGACTAGTTAGAACTTAGAGCCCTCAGAAAATTATAAGCATGTTCAAAAATACGCCAAACCCGAAAAAAGTAGGGCATCTGGACAAAAGCAATACATTCGGAGTTGTACCTGGCCATCTGGAGTGAAAGAAGCAGCAGTGACCATTTCATGAAGATCAGTCCAGTCCACGACTTGCCTAACGGCTACATTCCACAATCGAATCTTGGCATCGAGTGAGCCACTGATAAAGTAATTGTCATCCAAAGGATTGAACTGTATGCAAGTCACTACAAAACCAATAACCCAAGTCAAAACTCAAGAAACTAATCAAGGAACAACGGTACACAATGTGTCCATGTCTCAGTACTGGTAGTGATTTTGACATTCCCACTTTCTTCTTTTACGCTATCCCTTCTTTTATGTCTGTTGATTTTATTCAATTCAAAGGTCATAAAACCATGAAGTGCAGGAGACAAAATAAGAGTGCAGAAATCACTACCCATGCGCATTTTGTACACTGCATTGTAGTTTTCGGATAACAAATACACGCAAGAGCTAAGCATTAGTTTTAGACTTGGCATTTTGGACCCGACCTGTTAATATTAGTATTTGGGTGGATGCTTAACGGGTTGGGTCGCTAACGGGTGAACCCGTTAACAACCCGTTAAATAACGGGTCACTTTGGGTCAACCCGTTAGCACCCGTTAGTTGAGGATGTTTTAGTAATTTCAGTCAAGTCTTAACAACAAAAAATAAACTCTATGAAAAAAAAAAGTAATAATAATTGTTAACGGGTGAAACAAGTAACCCGTTAGCTTAATGAGTTAGGTTTGAATGACCGTTAACTTAACGGTCAGGTTGAACCCGACCCAAACCCAATAAACCCGATCCGTTTACAGGTCTAATTAGTTTACATGGATGAATATCTTACCATAATCATTGTGGGCAAACAACTTTAAGCAAGTCTTGGTCTCCAAATCCCATAATCTAACAGTTTTGTCCATTGAAGATGAAAGTAATAGCTGCAAATTGATCAAATTACATCGGCAAAAATTAGTCTAAATTAGCCTAACCTTATATTAATCAATTCAGGAAAAGAAACAATTAGCAAAAAGCTAACCTGATCTCTGGACCAGGACAAGTCCAAAACAGCATCCAAATGACCTTCAAAAGAACAAAATGGTTTCTCCGAAAACGAAAACACAGTTTCGGGTACATGCACGTACTCTGGGATTGAATTGCTTTTTCTAGCAGACCCTCCTCGCCCCTTCTTCTTCTTCTCCTTCTCGGGTGGCCCAAGCGCAGGTTGATCAGACATCGATGGCGAACGATCAGGGGTAGAGGACCCGAAAGAGTGATGAAGCGGGGTCGAATTCCCGTCCAACGACATAATCTCACACTCTTGCACTTCCCACACATGAATTACCCGATCCTCTCCCGCACTCGCAAGAAACCTCGCATCCAAACTAAACTTAATAGTCCAAATCGACCCCTCGTGAGCTTGAATCTCCTGACACAGATGCAATGCTGATAGCTCCTTGTAATGCTTCCCTGTCTGCCTAACTTTAACCCACTCCGAGGAAGAAGAACTCGAGTTCTTGGCGGGCTTTTGGGCCGGTGGCGTCAGCGGTGGCGTCGTGTTTTCCCTATCTTTCTCCCCAATCAACACACTCACGGCTGTCCCCACGCCTCTTATGCTGTTCTTCAACAGAGCAACACCTCTTCTCTTGCTCATCCTCAGGCTCTTCGAAACGAACGAATTTGCACCGACTGCACCGCCCTTCCTGTCGCCACCACCTTCCCTCGAAACATTTTGTCTTCTCATCACCTCTTTCACCACCGGCGAGTACCCGACGCATTTCTCGAACTCATCCATCGTCAATTGCTTTCCCGTTTGGAGATCGCTGAGTCGATTCCAGCACCCATCCTGATCGTACTCGTTCACGATGAACTCGGTCCCCGTGTCCAGATTCTTGATCAAGAAGAATGCTTCTAACCCGTTGTTTGAGAAGACCGACGATAATCCACCACCGGTCTGAACAGATCGGATTGCGGGGGTGGCGCCGCCTACTTGGTTTGGCGACCCTTTGACCGATTCTGTATACGGACATATTCTCGAACGAGGCGCGGCGATAGTGGAGCAAGTCCTCGTAAGGCGTTGCTTCGAGATTGTTCCGATTATCTCCTCTTTCCTCTGTTTGTCGACCGAAAAAGCTTCGATGTCGCCCTCGGACCTTGATCGGACGAGCACCACCGGCAATAAATCATGCTCAGGCTCCGGTTCTGGCTCCGATACCGATTGATCCTGCGGTACTTGTACATTTTCTTTGGCACGAGAGATGGACCGAGGGATTGGAACGACGCCATTTGCCATTTTGTTCGAAACGAGGCGTTTAATGCTGGTTAGCTGTTTGAAGCTTACGAGGTCTTTCCCGGGTCCTTGGGCTAACCCCATGCCCTGTAACAATCGTTTCCGCCGCTCAGTGATGGATCCCGGCGTATCCATCCAGATGTTGTAATCCGGCGTCATCGGAGCTGCAGCAGTGGACGGCGGTTCGGTCGGAGTGGCTGCGGCGAAGGCGCTAAAATCGACGTCATTTCGAACAGAGGAGACGCATGAGGCGAATGACATGCGACTGTCATCGAAATCCTCATCTTCGGAAGAAGATGCCTCAAGGTCAAGCGGAGCGACGGAGGAGGCACGTTCGTTTGACTCAAAGAAGCGGTCGTCGTCGTCGTCGTCCCGGAGGCCGTCCCAGTTCATCGTCAACGTCCTCTTCCGCTCCATCTTCATGGTGCATTAGGCAAAAACTGCGCAATCGAATGTGCAAAATGGAAATTGTGGCGTTGGATTATCGAATTCCGTAGAGAAACTGGAGTTTTTTTGGAGTGTTTAGAAACTGTTGTGTGTTTTTGCGCGAGGGAGATTGAGAAAGTGGAAGAGAGAAAAAGGAGGGAGTTTGGTGGTTAATTAACGTTATTGCATTACGTTCCTGCACGTCTTTGATTCGTTATTATTTAATGATAATTAGGATTGTTATTACAAATTTATCCGTGTATGTCGTGCGGCATATACGGCCTCGTTTCTGCCACTCACTTTTTGCCACGTCACCGCCTAGTAACCTAATAGATTAGTCGCATGTCCCCGCGGCTGAGGAGAAAATTTTCCCTGTGAACGGAACAAGTGGTAGAAAATTGTATTATTTTAAGTTATTAGCTTTTTAACACATATATCGTTATTATTTATATAGTGACATGTGATGTACTACTTCGTGTTCTGATCACACTGAAAAATTTCTCGCAGCTAAGAAGGCAATAACCAGCCACCTGTAAAGCCCACACTTTGAACCACCTCCAAGGCTCCAAGGGATCGACCGGAACCCAAATATCTAAAGGAAGATCCAACAACCCATTTAACACAAATTCAATCGAGAGCATACGCTCAACAAGACAAGTCAATGTTCCAAACAAAGTGAAACCTAGGAAAGTAGATAGTGTAAACACCAAGTCAATACAACGTCGTACGTTTCTAGAAAATGAAGATTAATTTTCTTCAGTTGGAGAGGAGATTGAGTATGAAGGGGGAATTGGTAACGATATTAAGATTCGTTTTAATTAATTTCTTAGAGTAAATAACACAAGACTAACTCAACTATTGGACTAGTTACAGTTTCATACCCCATTTTTAAAAAATGTCAATGTTATACCTCATTTACGAATTTATTACAATTTCATACATTCCGTCAGTTGTCTGTCAATTCCTGCGTTAAATGCTGACATGGTTTGAGGTGGGACCTACTTTCTATTTAAAATTAATTAAATATTAACTAAAGATTAAAAAATTATAATTAAAAAAAACCAAACCCACGCCCAGATCCCCTTCCTCTCCCTGAAACTTCCCATCACCCTTCTACCTTCTCTCCATCGCGTCCCATCAAACTCTAATTTGATTTTTCTTCATCCGTTACGTCGAGAAATCCATTGCAGAGATGGACAATTTAGAGCTGCTGTCGACGGAGGCTGCTCCGCCAGTCTACAAAACGAAGCTAAAGCACTTAAAGAAAGCAATTAGGGTTTCCGAAGAACCTCCCGTCGACAAATCGGAGAGCGGTCAAGTGATTCCCTCTGAATTTGAAGCTCTAAGCTTGGAGGAATCGAATGAGCCATCAAGGTTAGGGTTGGGTTCGAAAGGTTTGGGTGGCGAGGGGATTCTAATTTTGGATTTGACGGCTTGGGCAGTGGTGAAGGTGAAATGAGTTCTGGTTTCGATGGGTTGGGCAGTGAAGGGGAAATCGATTCCGGTTTTGATGGTTTGGGTGGTGAAGGTGAAATGAATTCAAGTTTTGATGGTTTGGGTGGCGGCGAAGATGGCAACAGAGCTAAGAGGGTTTTGGATTTTGATTATGCGGGAAAGGAATTTGGCGAAGAAGGTGAAGATCTAAACCAGGAGATGCTGGAAGAAAGTGGGGGTGTGATTTTTTTTTTTTTTGGGAGGGGGTGGGACACAAGTCAATGGGGAAGATCTGGGTGTGGGTTTAGTTTTTCTTTTTGTTTTTTGGTTTTTTTTTTTAATTTAATTTTTTAATAATTAGTTAATATTTAATTAATTTTTAATATTTAGTTAATATTTAATTAATTTTTTAATAGAAAGTGGGTCCCGCCTCAAGCCATGTCAGCATTTAACAGAGGAATTGATAAACAACTGATGGAATGTATGAAATTGTAATAAATTCGTAGATGAGATATGACATTGACATTTTTTAAAGATGAGATATGAAACTGTGACTAACCCAATAATTAAGGTATTTTTATGTAATTTACCTAATTTTCTATGTTAAGAGAAATATTCAAGTACCAAATTAACAATTAAGTGCTAAGCATATAGAAGTGGTGAGGTCACATTACTAGTTACTACAAATTTAACATGATCACAATTCACAATAAGCAAACATTAAAATTATTGTTGATTAACTTTTATAATAAAAAAGTCATCATGCTTTTATTTATATTCTATTTTTTGCACTAAAAGAAATGCACGATAATTTTCTTTGATAAATGTTAGTGAGACTCTTTCTTAAGAGCGAGACTCTCCGTCACCTTATGTTTTGGCACAATTTTCATACCAACATTATAAAATATTATGCCACAAATATGAGGTGACTAAGAGTCCATGAGAGAACTTCCAGCGTTGGCTAAAGCTCAGGGTACAGGCCAGCAAACAAGGCCCGGGAGCCCGGCTTATTGACTCTAGTGTGTGGGGGCCCAAGGGACAGGGCAGGCCCAAGTACCAGGCATGTCACGAATTGCCAGCCCGCAAGCCTGAAGGCTTTCTAATGCAAGGCTAACGTCAGCCCTTTTTTTTTATTTTTTTCTGTAAGGCGCGTGCACTGCACCCGCGCATGGGGGTGCGTCACCCGACATGTTTTCAGCAAATGGGGCCCACAGCGCAGTTTCAAATTGTTACCGTTGGGAAGACACTTGGCTTTCCATGGTCCATTGGATCTTAACAGCAAGAAAATGTGGACCGTCAGATTTGCAACGGTAAACAAAATAAAAAAAATCTTATTTAATATCAACAATTGGATCTGAGATCAACGGTTGATATTATTATCCTTTATAAAAAAAAAATAGTTTAAAAATTCATAAATGTTACCATTGTGCCCCGTGGTGCATTCTGGAGTGTTAGAATTCAATTTTTTTCTTTAAAATCCAACGGTAGAGATTAATTAGTTGAATAAAAAAATTTGAAAAATGAATAAAAATCCGAAAAAATTTTTGAATTTTTTTAAAAAAAATTGTTTTTACTTTTTTTATAAATATCTTCTCATTATCATCTATCCTACACCATAATTTCATATTTTCTCAACTATTTTCAACCACATTCCTATCTTTCTCTCAAAGTTTCAATCCAATTTTTTTTCAACAAAATGACTACTGATGTAGGTACGAATTGGACGTTTCTTGAAGATATTGTGTTGTGTACTAGCTGGGTTAAAGTTACTCATAGTTCGCTTACAGGTAATGAGATGCAATTGCGAGAAATGTGGAGTCTTATTCATACCAATTATCTTGAGAAAATAGGTGGGAAAAGAACCAAAGAATCGACGTCCAGTCGTTGGAAATTACTTAGCTAATCGTTTAGTACGTGGAGAAATGCCTTGGCACAAGCCAGTACTAATATTCGAAGTGTAGAAAATTACGCAGATCAGGTAACAATATATTATTTATTTGTTTGTATTATTTATCTGTTACGTACTTTCATTATAATTATTTGTTTGTATTATTTATTAATTACCTACTTTCATTATATTTATTTGTTTGTATTATTTATTTGTTACCTACTTTCATTATAATTATTTGTTTGTATTATTTATTACTTACCTACTTTCATTATAATTATTTGTTACCTACTTTCATTATAATTATTTCTTATCCCGCATCGTGTAGCAACTTCAAGCACAAACTTGGTATGGTGCCAAAACCAAAACCAAAAATAAATCATTCAACCAGTGGGAATGTTGGAATATTGTCAAAGATTGTCCTAAATTCAAAGTTGTGCGTGTCGGTCCAGAAGTTTTCATGAACAGCACCCTTCTACAATCTACACCTGATCATGGCTTGCATGTTCATGAAGATGAAGCAGAAGAAGTGCCCAAAAATCCGCCCCTAAACAAGCGTCGGGATTGACCCGTTATCCAATTAGGCCTCAAGGTAAGAAAGCTTCAAAGAAAAAAAGGAGTGCTTCGAAGAATGATTATGCAAAGTATATGGAACAACTTGCTCGCCAAGGTGAATTGACTTTGGTGAGGGAAATAGCGAAATTTAAGGCTGATAAGGCTAGAGAGGAGGCAAATGTTGCAGCCGTTGAGAGAGTTTTTCAAGTTAATGAGAGAGAGAGAAAGCTACTTAGGCAAAAAAGGGAACAGGTTAGAGAAGAAAGAATGGTTCAACGAGATCGTGACATTATGAACACGCATTTAGAAGGGAAGTCTCCAAATTCTAAATATTTTTGAAAGTCGAAGAAAGAGGTAGTGGTGCGAAGGAGGCGTGCAAGAGAAGCGAGAGCAAAAGAAGATGGTCCTAGCATGACAAGAGAAGATCATCGTAGCACCACAAATTGGTTAAGTGATGATGAATAGAGTACTTTTTGTAATCGGAGTCCATAATTTTCCAATCACTTTGGGTTGTTATTTCTTATTTATTGAATAGAGTACTTTATGTTGTTTCCAATTTATTGATTTTAGCACTTTATTTAATTTGGTAATTTATTTATACTAGAGAATCTTTATTCAAAAGATATTTAAATACACCAAATAAAATTACATAAACATACCAAATAACAAAAAACTCACTAAATGAACTGAAAAAAACACACTAAAATTAAATAAACACACCAAAAAAAAAAAAAAAAAAAAACACAAACACACTAAATGAACTTAAGTATCTTGAGCTTGTTTCAATTCTCACTGGTGTTCTATCAAATCAATTTGCCAGACATTGTGCATATATGGCCTTTGAAGTGCAGTATATCGTTGATTGATCAATTCATTGTAACGTTCATCCCTTTCTAATGGCTTATGTTGCACAAGTTCTTCGGTGGCGTCATGAGCACAATATATACGTGTTCGTGAATTGTTCATCGTGTCTAGCTCATATTCATCAACGACATCATAATCATACTCATCTTCCACAATGTTGCACGGGTTCTTCGATTGTGAAGAATGATGCATGTCATCATGATGGATCGAAGCGACTCTACATCAAACAATCTAGCAGCACCCCTGACGATCGCCC